ATCGATTGCACTTGAAGTCAGTAGCAAAAATTGATTGAGAGCAATCGATTGCACAAACATATAAATCGATTGCACTTAGAAACAGTAGCTAACATTTTGAAAACGTGAAGCATGTAATCGATTTCACCAATATGCAAATCGATTGCACATAAGTAAAAATTGATTTTTTGCTTAGAAAACTTGAGAAAAAGTTTGGACAAGATAAAATATTTCTTTTGACCATTGAGCATCTATGTCTTAAGTTCAAAGTAAGTATTATCATTATACCTTGAAATTTGCTAAGTGCTTGAACCAAAGACTTTATCCAAAGATGCTTTTAGCTTAATCAATAATCTTTGCCTTCTTGTCAAAATGGTTTGTCTTCACCAAAACAAAAGTGCATTTGAGAAGCTTGATTTTACACTGCATACATCTCATCATCCATGGCCTTCAGCCATTTAGTCTTATTTTAACTCCTCATAACTTCCTTATGGTCTCTAGGTTCTTCATCAACCTCACTTGCAGATATTAAGGTATAAGTTATAAGATCTGCATACCCAAGTATCTGACGTGGCTTGATGACTCTTCTTGTTCTATCTCTTGCCAATAGGTAGTCACCGATAGTTTCCTTAACTTCCTCAGCATCTTCTGCTTCTTCTTCAACTTTATCTGGGATACGTAATACAACATCAACATGCTACACCTCAACAAGAATCTCTCCTTGTTCCAGCTCTTCGTCAGATATTTCTGCACTTCGATCAACATCATCAATTTTCTTTAAATCCATTCAGCTTCATTAAAAACTACATCTTGACTGGTGATAATCCTTCTATGACCTGGATCTAGGCACCATAGCCTATAAGCTTTGACTCCTTTAGGGTATTCATATGAACATGCATTTCAGAGCTCTAGGTTCGACCTTGTCTTGCCTAATGTGAGCATAGGCTACGCAACCAAATACTCTCAGTTTGTCGAGATCTGATGGATGTCCCGACCAAACTTCTTCAGGTATCTTCATATCTAACACAATTGAAGGACATCTATTTATCAAATATATTGTTGTCGAAATAGCCTCAGCCCAAAACACCTTATTTAACCCAACACTAGTCAACATGCATCTAACTCTCTCCAAAATAGTTTGATTAAAAATTTCAGTCAAACCATTTTGATGTGGAGTACCTGCAATAGTTATGTGCCTTGCTATACTAGAGGCATCACAAAAGCTATCGAATGCCTCATTGCAAAATTCAATGCCATTGTCTATTCTCAACCTCTTGACCTTTCTGTCAGTTTTATTTTCGACATGAGTCTTCCAACATTTGAAATTCTCAAAAGTTTCATCCTTAGTCTTTTGGGTGAATACCCATAACTTTCTTGAATAATCATCTACTATGGATAGAAAATACCTTGCTCCTGAATATGATAGACATCTTGCAGCCCCCCAAAGATCAGCATGGATGTAATCAAGGTATCCATGTGTCCTTTGTTTTCCTTTGTTGAACTTCACTCTATAATATTTTCCAAATACACATGGTTCACAAAATTTCGGCTTTTCGACCATGTCTCCACCAAGCAAATTTTGTTTCCCTAATTCGACCAGACCCCTTTCACTGACATGGCCCAATCTCATGTGCCAATTTTTTGTCTTCGACAAAGGTTTCATGGATGTAATATTTGTCGAACCATTTACAACTTCAGCCTCAAGAGTATATAATCCTTGTTTCTTCACGCCTCTCAAGACTTCCTTCGAAACCTTCATGACTCTTAGGATGCTTTTCTCTCCTTGAAAAATATATCCTTTCTTGTCAAATTCACCAAGAGAAATCAAATTTCTCTTCAAATGAGGTACATACCTGACTTCAATCAATAGCCTTATTGACTCATCATGGAGCTTGAATCTCACATATCCAACACCTGCAATCTTGTAAACTTTATTGTTTCCCAACAATAAAGATCCACCATCTTGGTCACATAAGTCTTCGAACAAGTCTTTGTTTGGAGTCATGTGCCAAGTACACCAGAATCCATAAGCCACTCCTTTGATGAGTTGCTGCTCGAAACCACAAGAACATCAGATGAGTCGAAATCATCTTGAACAATAGTTGTGTTGCCATTATCCTTTCCTCCATGATCTCTCAGGTGTTCAGGACACACTTTTCTTGTATGACCTTCCTTCTTAAAATAATAGCATCGAATACCAGATGCTTCCCCCACTATAAGACTTCTGCTGACTTTTACCTTTCTTCTTGTCGAACTTACCATCCTTTCGTAAAATTTTTCCCTTAACGGCCAAACCTTCACCAACCGTCGAAGGTTTATTCTCCTTTCGTTCATTCAAGTCCTTAGAATACAAGGGTGATTAAACTTCTTCAAATGTCAGAGACTCATTTCCATACAAGAGAGTTTCTTTGAAGTGGGCATGTGTTCTGAGGAAAGCGCACAATAGCAACAACGTTTAATCTTCATCATCGATCTTCACATTAATGTTTTCAAGATCAAGAATCAACTTATTGAACATATCCAACTTCTCAGTCAACACTTTGTCTTCGATCATCTTGAATGAATACAAAGCTTGCTTCAGGTAGAGTCGATTTACCAGCGATTTGGTCATGTACAAACTTTCAAGTTTCACCCATAACCCTGATATCGTCATCTTCTTTGATACATGTCGAAGAACCTTATCACCAAGGCTTAACAAGATTGCGTTGTGGGCTTTTTCTATAATGGTCGTCTTTTCCTTTTCCGTTAATGCAGCGTCCATAGTCGCTACTCCCTTAAATGCTTCGAAACAACCCTGTTGAACCAGTATGGCTTTCATCTTCAAGCGCTACAGATCAAAATCGTTCACTCCGGTGTACTTTTCAATCTCATAATTTATTTAAGGCATCTTCTCCACGCTCACCACACTAATTTGTTGTGAAACACGATGCCTTTGAAACAAAGTATAACAGGGTTCTTCAAGGCAAGAAACCCACAAAGATAGAAAAGATGATAAAATAAGAAGAACAAGGAATTTGTTATTAACTGTTATTCTTTACTTTCTCTTTAAATCAAGTACTCAAGAATAACAAAAAACCCTCTCACTCTAAATTAGGATTTGTAGTATGCAATGATGAGAGACTAGTATGTTATTTATAATAAATCTAACATACTAAACTAATGGACTTTTTCATAAATACTCATTACAAGCTAACTTATGGTACAAGCTAACTTAAACAATTGGACATCACAAACATGCCCAATTCAAAATACTAACAACCCTAACATTTCGACACACACTTACTAGAACACACTTCGACTACAGTATGTAGGTCTTCGACACTAGCATGTGAACATACTTTGACGACATGCATAAATTCTGTCGAATCAGAAGGTACTCTTCGACCCAATAGAGTTCGATCCAATATCTCACAAATGATTAAGTGTGTGTTTGAATTGACTTCTACATATTTTAAATGCACTTCTATTCTGCATCAAATTAAAAATTGATTTTTTCTTGTTTAGGTATTTTTCTAAAATCAATTTTGCCCTCCTCTAAAAATAATTCTCTTAAAAACTATAATTTCTATCTTTTTGAATTTAGTAAAATCAATTCTATATTTATTATATTTTATTTGTTATAACAATTTTTTAATTTTTTTTTCTTTATCTTCTTTAACTCTCATCGATTATTTTTTTTCTTTTTAATTTATATTATAAAATCTATTACGATTTTCGTAATCATACATTTAAAAACAATTTTGATAAAACTATTCAAATAATATTAATCGATAACAATCAATTTTATATTGTATCAAAATATAAATTATTTTTAAAAAAAACTCAATTATATTAAAACTAAGTCTGCCAAAATTAATTTTTTCAAAATCAATTATATTCACCATCAATTTAAATATACAATAAAACATATTTAAAAATATTTAACAATAAAATACAATTTTTTGATTGGAGAGATGAATTCAAAATGAGAATTTAATATAAACTTTAAGTTTGTTCTAGTTTTACTTTAAGTTTTAAATATAATATATTCTTTTAGTCAAACTTAACAAATAATAACTAAACTAATTTAAATTTAAATTTAAATTTAAATAAAAATAATAAATAACAATATTTTCAAAGCTTGAAAATAATTTACATTATGATAAAAGATAAGTAGACTATTTTCATTCTAGAAAAATAGACATTCACTTTAATAAAAAATTAAATTTAGTTGGATTCGAATACATTCCACTAATCAAAGGACAATTCAATGTCACGTTACTTTTTTATTTTATTTTAAAATAAATTTAAATTTTAAAACAATTTATATTAAAAGCAGCAGTACTCAACTCAAACTTTTAAATACCTAAGAATTTACCATTAAATATTTATAAAAATTATTCATTTACTCAACTTAAATATTTACTCAACTTAAACTTATGAATATCTAAGAATTTACTATTAAATATTTTATAAAAATTATTCATTCATGCAGGAGTCTCACAATGTTACACTTTAAGAAAATTAGTTAAATTGTATTATCATTTTATTTAATTGATTTTAAGAAATATTTCAAATAACAATGGTTACAGAAATTAGATATTTTAAATAATTTATCAAGATCTTAGGAATGACATCAATATATTTCAAAGTTAATTATACTTTTTCTTATATTATTGCAAAAACATAATTTTTTTCTTATTTTATATTCAATACCAGTGGAACTACTTTTTGGGGCACACAATAATAAATTGTTTTATATAGTTTAGTAGCAATTTTAAGGAATAATATATTTTATTATGCATGAATGAGACAGAAATAATGTAAATAGTCTTAGAAATACAAAAACAAAAAGAAAACAAGCATGTTAAAACAAATAAAACAAAAAGGACATTATAGGAATTATAATAAATAAAAAATAGAACAATTTTCAAGGAATATGCTATGCAATTTATGTGTATATATAAATAAATAAACACACACTTAACAAACTCACACTCTGTTATCTCTCTCTGCAATTGTATCCCAAAAATAAAATAAAAATGGATCGGCGGCAACAGTCACCACCGTCGCCACCTCCATCTCCGCCGTCACGAACCATACTCGGAAAATACCAGCTCACAAAATTCCTCGGACGCGGAAACTTCGCGAAGGTTTACCAGGCAACTTCCCTGATAGACGGTTCAACAGTCGCCGTGAAAGTGATCGACAAATCCAAAACGGTGGACGCATCCATGGAGCCACGAATCGTTCGTGAAATAGACGCCATGCGCCGTCTTCAAAACCATCAAAATATCCTCAAAATTCACGAAGTTTTAGCTACGAAAACCAAGATCTATCTCATCGTCGATTTCGCCGGCGGCGGTGAGCTTTTCTACAAACTCTCCCGACGAGGTAGGTTTACCGAGTCCGTCGCTCGTCGGTACTTTCAACAACTCGTCTCCGCTCTCTGTTTCTGTCACAAAAACGGCGTCGCTCACCGTGATCTAAAACCGCAGAATCTCCTCCTGGACGCCGACGGGAACCTCAAGGTCTCCGACTTCGGTCTCTCCGCGTTACCGGAACAGCTTCAAAACGGTCTCCTCCATACAGCTTGTGGTACTCCGGCGTACACCGCGCCGGAGATTCTGGGCCGCATCGGATACGACGGATCTAAAGCAGACGCTTGGTCATGTGGCGTTATCCTCTACGTACTTCTCGCCGGTCATCTCCCGTTCGACGATTCAAATATTCCGGCGATGTGTAAGAGAATCATGCGGCGGGATTTTCAGTTTCCGGAGTGGATTTCGAAGCCGGCGCGTTACTTAATCTATCAGCTACTCGACCCGAACCCTAAAACCCGAATAAAATTAGAAAACGTGTTTGCAAACGCGTGGTTTAAGAAATCGTTAAGAGAAGAACCTGAAGTTAAAGTTTTCGAATCGGAGTTATACAAAAAATACTGTTGCGAAGGTAGCAAGAAACTAGAATTGGGGATGAATGCTTTTGATATAATATCGATGTCTTCGGGTTTGGATTTGAGTGGTTTGTTTGAAACTACGTCGTTTAGGAGTGAAAAGAGGTTTACTTCAAGTGAAGAAATTGGTGTGGTGGAAGAGAAAGTGAAGGAGATTGGAGGGGGATTAGGGTTTAGAGTTGAGATTGGGAAAAATGGAACAATTGGGTTGGGGAAAGGGAAGGTAACTATGGTTGTTGAGGTGTTTAAGATAGTGGATAATTTGTTGTTGGTAGCACTAAAATTGGAGAATGGTGGAATGGAATTTGAGGATCTTCATTGGAATGATTGGAAAATTGGGCTTCAAGATGTTGTTATTTCATGGCATAATCATGAATCAAAATTTCCATGTAACAATGTTGGTGAATCTGAAAGAAACATTGCTTAA